TTGTTTGTTTGGGAAAAGCTGTTCCATTGTTTTGCCTATTCCCATCTATTTTTCTTGTCCTACAATTTGTGAACATGATACTAAGTATGCATATATTTAAGTTTTTAATTAGTTTACATTTTACATTTGCTATCGATAGGCGTTGGTTTCTTAAGAAGTATAGATATGAGATAACTAGAGGTATTTATCCAATGGAGGCCCATTAAAAATGCGCTAGAAATGGCACAAAAGGGGGCAGAGGAAAGGGGGAAATGGAAAAATCAACAAGAGGCAAGAAACGTGGGGGGGAGTGGCAAGCAAGCAACAACCAAACACACACTTGACTGACACACACTATGCATATGCATGTGTGCAAAGTGCCGGGTCGATAAACAAAAAGTTAAAAAATATATATGCACGCCATACATATGTGTACATACGTACATATATACAAATAAGAGAAAAAACGCCGCAGCGCTGCCCACGTCGACGTCGACTGCACTGCCAGCTGATAGCGGGCGTCGCGACGTCGCATTTGACTCATTAAATATTTTGCAACCTTGACCGTTCGAAAGCGATTAAAATGGTGATGTGTGTGTGTGTGTACAGCGGCATGCAATTGCGCGTATGTGTGTGTGAGTGTGTGTGTGTGTGTGTGTGTGGGTTGCCCCTTGTGAATGAAACAAAAACTGTTGACATTTGCCAAGGGGGCAAAGCAAGAAAGCCCCAAATGCAAACAACATCTGCATATCGATAACACAGATGCCAGAAAAGCGCGAAGGGAAGGCGGACAAAGAAAAGCCTGGGAAAAGCGCTGAGAAAATTGGCCAAGCGTTTTGTAAAAGGACCGGGGGCGGCGGGGGGAGTGCTGCCAGTCAAAGTGAACTGAAAAATAGTCTATATAACAAGCGTTGCTTCAACAACAAAGTTGTATTCCTTTGTTATCGATGGCAAGAGACATACAAACCTATGTATGTACGTAAGCTGTAGGTATCTGTGCATCTATTTTGAGCTTTATCTTTAATTCATCTTTAGTTCGTTATCTTTAACAGGGGTACGGGCAACATTTTTGCGGATTTTCTTTAACTGTACTGCTCCAGACACATCAATCACCGAACTTTTTCCGCACGAAAAAGATGTAGATACTGCTTTTCTCTTTTAAATTGCGTTCTAATTTAGCGAACAAACATAAAAAAGAACAATTAACAAAAGAGAAAAACCAAACATAAACAGGCGAGGAAAGAGAAAACAATTTTGGCTCATCTTCATCAGCTGTCAGCTATTTTATCTTGCCTTTTAACATTAATTTGCTTTTGTTATGCATTCAGTGAACACTGAAATTAAACCCTCTTCAAAGATTCCATTTAAATGTATTCATATATTCACATATATGGTTTAGGGCATGGAATTCCCAAATTATAGATTTTATTTTTTGATCGGTTAAATTGTTTTCTATCTTTAGTCATTTTAGGAATAATTTAAAGCAATTAAAATAGCTAAAAGATTTTCCTACATTTGTTCGCCACTTTTTTCTATATATGTATGTATGTATGTACGGGTGGTTGGTCCTTTGAGGCGGATACGAATAGAATGGAATGGAATGCGAAGAGGATGTCCTCCATTCTCCATTGTGGTTGCCTCCATTTTACTGCCTCCACTGTAATCATTGTGGCAGGTCAATGGTGTTAAATTACATATAATTATTTTTAGCTTTTCCTTGCACCCGTTTTTATCGCCTTGTCTTGTGTTTCTTCTCAAATGCTTTGCACTTCCCACTTTGTTTCTTGTCTTCTTGTCTCTCAAGCCACAAAAACATGAAACCGTACCTCATCATCGTCATCGTCATCATCATCATCATTACCATTGCCATTATAATTAGCTTGTGTTTTTATTTGTTACGTTTTTCCGGGTCTTTTTTACCTTCTCTTTGTATACCATACATATATACAGCACAAAATCTCATATTATCTTACACTTTTTGCAATGACTCATTTTCACCAAATGGCATTGAAAGTGCAAATATTGAAATCAATTGGATATTTGCCCTTTTTAAAATTCGAATTTTAAGAGCTTTCAGTTTGTGTGACTTATTTTTTGCCCATAAGGAATATTTTACACATACATACATTTCCATTCATTTGATAGATTCGAAAGGTATGTCTTTTGTAAAATGTTCCCCTTAGACGCCAGTTTTTGGTGGTAATTCAATTTATGAAACTTTTTTTGACATTTTTGAATGCCACCTGTTTCCACGACAACAACGGAAATGGGGCATTAGCATAACTTTGGCTTAAACCGGTTTAGTATGGTAACAAATGCCATTGAAACGAGTCAAGGTCAAACAAGTGCGCCCAAAAACCAAAAATAAAGCACAGCAAAAGTTCGAACACGTGTTTCTCTACTCAATGAATTAAATCCTTTTCCATTGAAACCACAACCACTTGAAAGTCACAATCTTAAAACAGAAATAAACTTTGACGTAAGTTTATTATCACGGCACAAATCTTATGTGAATTGCTTACGATATTCTGCGAATTTTAATTGAAAGTAGACTGATAAATGATAAATCGAACACACACAATTTGGCAGCAGAAATATTATATATATGATTAGTTCATAATCATATAACACATAACTACGTTAAAGTTAAATAAGCTGAAGCCAATTTTATTGGTGATTTCCTGCAAAGCATTTCAGCATCCTATGCAGGAAATCGGAAACCAATCATCAAATATAAATAAAATAAATCAAATAAATAGGCGAAGTAAACAAGCAAAGTTCAATATTTTCCTATTGAGAATAATCAATCCAATATCCCCACATTTACTCCATTTTCTATGCAAATAGTAAAGGAAGCTAAAGTTGTTGGGAATGCCATCTATCTCTGGTTACTGGAACTAGAATTGGGGGAGAAGAATTCTTCGGGTCAGGAATTTGTCAGGAACTAAAAGAGGCAACACCTATAGTGATGTGTCTATTCCATTTTCGGGAATAAGAAAATTGTTATGCATACACGAAAGTCAGGGAAATAATTTAAAAAAAAAATTCTTCGACTATCAGATACCCGTTACTCAGCTAAGGAAAGTGCGAACGAGAAATTCCATCATTATATTGAATATCTGTAGTAATTTGAGAAAAAATAAATCAAATGAAATAACAGGCTGTTGTTCCTGATCAAGAATATATATACTTTATATAGTCGGAAACACTTCCTTCTACCTGTGACATGCTCTTAAATATATCTAGTTTACGTTGACAATAGCCAATCGAACCGCAAAGTCTCTAGAAAGTCTGTGACCTATCTCAAGTATTGGTTCGATACAACGAGTTCGAAAGTTAAGTTAAACGTTGATGTTGACATCGGTTCGAATTAAATGCGAATCGAACTTAACAGTTCACTGAGTTTCTTCTAAAGGGAGGCACGCATTTAATGGTTAATTAAAAATTCTAAGGAAAATCGCGAAGGAAAATTCAGCTGTTTTAATCTTTTTTTTTTTCTTTTTTATGTGAAACGCATGTGGCGAGTCTAGGCAATATGTTCAAAACATAACATATAAAAATGAAAGACTCAGATATTTGTATTATTTTTTATTTTATTTTGGTTCACCATTGTGTAAAAGTCGCATTGAAGGTCCACAGGAAAATTCCACGGAAGCGCAAACATCGTTGGATTTTCCAAACGTGGGTAGGTGATCTCTTACGACTTATATATTAAAAATAATAGGTATTTTAGTATTTTATTCTCGATGATATAAATTAAGGTTGCGGCGCCGTTATTAGGAAATACCTATATTTCTCATAAATCTGGATACTTTCCCTATCCGAATATAAAGAATATGTTATCGAATTGGCAACTTTTTTATTTTTAATTTTTTTTTTTGTGTGGGTAGGCCCAAGATAAGGAGAAACAAACAATGGCACCACTTTTTTTGTCGGCGGTTTGTTTTGGTAAAAAGCACATGGTTATAAAACTTGATATTCCTATTTTCAAAATTTTTTTTGAAAACCCACCTCAAAAATCTTACTGAAATGGGACGTGGAAAGCAGTGCACTTCAGAACAACGTGACATCATCAACAAACTCTTATCCCAAGCAAACTCATACAGATATATTGGTCGAATTCTACAATGGTCGAACAAAATGATACGTAATGCAATCACCTACACTGAGAAGCCCGAAACCGAAGCAAGTGGAAGAAGAGGAATCACTGGGCACACATTTCGTCAAAAAGCCGGAAGGAGGATCCATTCAAAGCTGCTACCGAACTGAAAAAGGAGCTCAACATATCCGCAACAGTGCAAACGGTTCGCAAATGTCTCGGGGAACATGGCTTAAAGGCCTGTAGTCCAAGGAAAGTCCCCCTTTTAAATGGGAGACACATAGCTAAGCGCACTAAGTTCGCCAAGGAACTTTAAACTGGCCATGCAAAAAATGGAGGAACATTTTATGGTCAGATGTGAGCAAGGTTGTGTTTTTTGGATCGCGATCGTATGATCGAACTACACTGCCAAAAAAAATGTAACACGGAGGATCCAGTGTAATGGTATGGACTTGTTTCTCGTACTATGGAGTTGGGCCAATACATTGGATAAAAACCATCATGGATCATGGACCATCATGTGGTTATTTTGGAGACGGTGATATGCTACCCTTTGCCGATTATTGATCCTTAATCCAATCGAAAATCTTTGGTCGCATACTAAAAAGCAGTTGTAGCTTCTAAGCCAACTAACAACGAAAGCCTTTGGGCTGCAATTCAGGAGTCCTGGAGCAAAAGATCCCTTAAACGGCGCCAGGACCTGGTTGACTCCAGGCTGCTATTGCTAATGAGGGATACACTAGAAAATATCAAATTAGTGGGATAGGAGTAGTTCCAATACACAAACATTTGTTGTGACAGGAAATGAGCTTTGCTGCGGAAATTCACCGTCATTACCGTCATTACCGCAGCATTAGGATGCTCGGTATGCCCTCCCCCCCTCCTATTGGCCCACTTCTTCTAGCCAACTTTGCAACTCACCTGTGAATGGATGCTGCATTTGATGGCAGGCGTTGCTGATACGCGGACATGTTGGAAGCCTGTTGCAGTTGCTGCTTGTGGTGTTGCTGCTGCTGCTGCTGCTGTTGCTGTTGCGTTGCTTTATTCTGCTGATTAGAGATGCTGATAGATGATTGATGCAAATGATGGGACGTTGGTCCATTATCATGCTGCTGCTGCTGCTGCTGCTGTTGTTGCTGCTGTTGCTGCAGCTGTTGTTGTTGTTGTTGCTGCTGGTTGCTGCTGGCAACAACACGTTGCTGCTGATGCTGCTGCTGCTGCTGAAGGTGTTGTTGTTGTTGCTGCTGCTGCTGCTGCGCGCCGTTTGGTGTGTTATTGTTGTTGCTGCTGCTGTTGTTGCTGCTGCTGCTGCTATTGTTGTTGTTATTGTTGCTAGTGTTGTTGTTGTTATTGTTGTTGCTGCTGCTGCTGCTGCTGTTGTTGTTTGTGGGCGGCGGAGCACCGACCTGCACTGAAGTGGAGCGTATAGCTGCTTCCATTTCATGCCGAACTCTTTTGGCTTAAACACTTGTTGTTGGCCGCAGAATTGATTGGTTTGTTTGCTTTTGTTGTTGTTGTTAATGTGTTGTTGCTGTTGTGGTTGTTGTTGTTACTTTTGTTGTTGTGATTGCTTTTGTTGCTGCTACTGCCGACAGTTGCAACATTATTGCACTGCGACATTCTCTCGGAAGTGCCCCACAAAAAAAAAAAATTTCGCTTCAAAGTTAGCACTCTTTTTTACAATTTGGTAAATTTTCTCTTCAAGTTTACCTAACTCAACTGTGTAAGTTGCTTTTTTGGGGGGGTTGCTGTTGTTGCTGCAACTGGGCAACAACAGTTGCCTTAATACGATTGCATTTTTTTTTTTTTTTTAATTTTGGTTGCACTTTTTCATTGCACTGTAAATCAATTGATTATATATAGAGATTTTATTTTTCTCTTGATTTCCTTTTGATCTTATCTATTTACACACACACTGCGCTCTGTAAGAAAAAGATGTTGGCACTAAATATTATTTTCCATTTCATTTCTTTATCATTTAATTATTTTGCATAATTTTTTTTATTCATTATAATTTTTTCTATGTTTTATTTGCTTCACTTCACTCTGGGCAAATCATACAATAAAAATGGTTGTTTGTTTGGATTTGGCAATTTAACACTTTCAAAAGAGTTTATTCGACATACAGCTGTATTCATTAAAATAGCAGTGCTTATGGCCTGCGAGCTTAAGCTACAAAATCCTATGAATTACACTTTTAATGGACAACATTTCGTTATAATATTAATAGGTATTTAATTTCAAACAATTCTACAATTTTTTTACTTTTGTTTCTTCAATAGTTTCGAAATTCACTAAAATAGCAGTGTTAGGAGATCGGGAACACGGCATTACGTCCAATTTAAGAGCATATTCAATGCAGTATAAGACAGCAAGACATTATTAAGTATATTTACAAAAAAGTTTTGGTCTATAATACCTTCATTGTGGGACTCATACCACTGTATGAAAAAAAAGCCCATGCCAGAATTTTGGATCCACTATGCTTGACAGTCTTGAATATGGTTTTCGGTGGTGGTACTCCGTGTTTGGAGGTTGACGGACATAGTCTCAAGACCCTGTTCCACCAAATAGCCTTATTTTCGACTGATTAGTTTAGAGGATATTACGCCATTTGGAGACTGGATAGTTTAAGTGGATAGTTAAATGCATTTGACTAAGTTGGGGCACCTTTGAACTCTTTTATGTCCCTAGAGGATGCAAACAGATTGACCTTGCTGAAACGAACTATGCGTCGATCCTCTTTATCTGTGGTTTTTCGGGAGGTACGCGGTACCGCGATTTTCGGGCTTCAAATCACATTTAATGGCATTAAATAGATTTTTTTTACATTTTTTTTATTGTATTGCCCTTTCAAATATAACAATCAACACACTATTTACAAAATATTGATCATTTCGGGACTTTTCGTTTAAAAAAATCAAACACTGCTATTCTAATAAAGATAATAAGGAATAGGATTTTTTTTATATATCTATACAGTTCATTTTACCAAAATAAGTGAAATAGAAAGTCGCTCTTGAAAAGGCACACGGAAAAATACCTTTATATTTCTTAGTTCCTCGTGCACTGCTATTTCAATGGACACAGCTGTAGGTGTGAGTGTATGTGTTTGCATGTGTGGCATATAAACCATTCGCTTGGATTTTATATTATGATTATTCATTTTTTAATCTTCCAAACGAACTGAGCCGAAAATCACGTCAACGAAAACGAAACGAATTTTTCCATTAATTAACATCTTTGCACACTTCTTTTTCTCCAGCTCTCTTGTCATCTTGCTCGCTCACATTTCTCTCTCTCTCTCTTTCTATCTCTTTTCGCTCGTTTTTTCGCTCTATCACAAGACATCACACACCGAAAAAAAAGGCAAACACAAAAGACATTTACTTTAATTTTATCATCCACGCATCCAATCCGTCCGGTCCGTCCATTTCGACCTGCAAGAAAGCGAAAGAAAGAGAAACACTCTGATTAGTTGCAAAAATCAACACACAAGCAAGCAGAAAAAAACTATAGCAGGCTTAGCAGGTAAAATGATTAGAAAATCGATAATGGCCATAAATATTCCAGCAGATAATGTTCCCCGCCAAGGTACAGCTCCCAAAATACACCCTCCAAATCACAAAAAAAAAAAAGTGTTTAAAATGCTGCAGTCGTATAAGCAAAAATCGCAATTATTGTGATTTTCACTACTTTAACTGACATTGATTTTGCTTCTGCTTCTGGGAAAAAGAATTTGTTTAATTGTTTTTTTAATTAGTAAAAAGGAAAAGCAAAAAAAAAAAAAAATGAATAAAGTACGAGAAGTACGCTATAAGTAATGGCATTTCAATTCAAGGTGAAGTTGATTTTCGATTTTCGTCACTCCTTGATTTTTGCTTTGGCTGTGCTTTGACTGCGACTTTGGATTTCCTCAAAAGCAGACGCAGAAGCCAAATTATATGAAATGAAACTTACCGCAGTATTTTAAACACTTGATCGCGTCTGCGGTTATTTCTGTCACTGAATTGCCACAGCCATCGCAAGACGACTTATGTTATCGACCAGGGAGCTTAAGGTATTGGAACTTACGGCCAAGGCCAAAAGGCCTCTAGATCGGACAGGGCATTCCAACGGCAATGCGAAACAAAAGCACATGGGTACTTCAATGGGAAATGACTGCGCTTAATTGAGTTATCGATCGATTATTTCGATTATCAAATTACTTCGCTTCTAGTATCGCATGTTTTGATTAAGAAACAAAAGGAAGCAAAACAAATTGGAGATTGTGATGATTCTATAATAAATATAAATACAACTGAAAAGTCTATCCAGTTACGTTTGTTGATAGGATCGCTTTCGATTATCACATCGATTAAGCATATCTTTTAAACAAGTTATACAAGTTTTACAATTATAACTTGCGAAATAAATAGATTTATCTTGATACCATAATATCATGTTTATCTATAATTAAAGATGGTAAGACTTAGTCATTTAATAAGCTTTTCCATTGTCAGTCAAGAATTTTTGATCATTACTTAACCGCTAAACATTAGATTCGCATTATTATTTCGATATAAAACGCAATTAATGATTCAATTCATATTCACTGACCAAGCAAAATGATTCAACACATTCTATTCGTATGGTTTTTTCGTTAAATGGAAACATAAATATTATTATATTATTATTATTCCGGAATTTGCTCATTAAATTTTTACGTTTGCTTTGCCAAATTGGTTTGTAAATAAAATTTTGTATGAAGAGGATACATGCATATGATAATACAATACATTTTAACCAGATACATACATGTCTGTGCATATTATATAAGTTCAAACAAACGTTAACAAATTGTATTCCTATTTTAAAAAATACACTTTTGGTAAAAATACCTTTTGAAACAAATTGTTGAGATAAAAGTGTTTCATTGATTTGGAAAATTGCATATTGTTTGGTTTTCGAACTATACAATATAAATAATATGTAAGTACATATATGCATATTTTTCAAACAAGTATGTAAGTAACAAACATTTGGCAAATATGAAGTTCTCATGTAACATATGAACATAGAAATTTCAACCGATTCGCATTTTTCACCGTTTCATTGAAATTACATCAATTGCGAATGTATGTATTTGAGGCCGCACTTGAATTATACAACTTTTGCCCAGTTCCCAAACTCTTTTCCCTTACCTGCTAAATTTATTTCAACAGCCGATGGAAATGAAGCGCTTTTAAAGCAGAACTCATCAATAATTTTTCACCCACTCATCTATCATTCGATAGCACACATACACACACGGTCATATCGACAAACACATACATATGTACATAGACGTCTATGTATATGTACAAATGAAGATATATGCATTGTATGTATGTATGCATGCATGTACATGTGTATGAAAAACCGAGGAAGACAGCTGCCCTGGTTGAAAATCATGGGTGCTGAAGTTTGGCAACGTTGCCATGGAGAACACTCCAATATTTCTGGCCACATGTTTTTCTCTTCTGCCTCCGCTAGCGTCGCAGTTGTCGTTTTTATATTCCTTCCCCTCTCTCCCTCTCTTTCACTATCACCCTCCCACACCCTTTCAACAAAAAAAAATCTATCCATCAACTTTTCTGCTTTATTTTGTTAGTTTTGCAATTTTGCAACTGTGTTTGCTTTTAATGAAAGCAATTAAACTGCACGGCAGCAAATAAATAAAACAAAGCGCAGAATGCGAGAAATACAAATATACAAATATAGTAAATTTAATTCACACTATGAAAATTGAATTCAAATTTAAGATGTGAAAAATAAGCACGAAATTCCAGTAAAGTATAAAGTGAAATAGAAGCAGAAAACGAAAAACAACAAAGAGCGAAGAAAAAAAACTCAGCCAAGCAGACGAAAGCCCAGTTGCCAAACTTCACGGGGCAAGAAAAAAAAGAATATAGCGGTGTGGAAGGGGAAGCGAGGAAAAAAAGTTAAGCACGCGTAAGATTAAAGCAGCGCTGTTGCCGAATTTCACAAGCAGCATGGCAAAAGGCAAAAAGCAGAGAAGCACGAAAGCAAAAAAGCAACAAAAAAAAACAGCCCCAGCGCAAACAAATTAATAAAAATAACAACACTCATACAACAGCAGACGACTGAATACGTATATATGTATATATGCATGTACGGGCGAGAAGAAAAAAGACTAAAAACTATGCGAACAAAAATAAATGAAAATAGGGAAAACAGAAACGTAAAAGCATTAAAAAAACCGAAAAAAGAGAAACAAGCAAAAGCCAGCAAAGCTGAATTATAATAATAATAATAATAGCATGCGAAGGAAACCACAGTGAGCACTCCCAAAGCAAGCGCATAAAACGCTTTGTTGAATCCTTAAGTAATAAGATTTACAATTATTGTATGCTCAGATGTACAAATTTAATTTATCGATACTAACAACTCTGGAAATTGATATGGCTAAAACAATAAATTATAACTGTTATTCATGATATTAGAAAATATTTTATTACGAAATATTAAAGTTTCATAATATCGCTTTTCGAGGGCCCATTGTATCGAGTGCACACAGTACACAGAAGAAAGCAACTTGAAGAAGACGAAAACGATGCCGAGGCCCATGTTAGTGAGCGAGCGAGAGGGAGAGGCAGATAAGGCACTGGAGCGGTGGAGTGCCAATGCGCGCAAGCGAGATGGCAACACACGGGGGGATCTGCGCACAAGTCAAGCGGAAGGCAGAGCGAGAGAGCGATAGCAAATAAAGCAAGCAGTAATGGAGCACAGAAGACAGGCCAAGAGGGGGAGCAGGGACGAAACGATGAAAGGGAAACGTGGGAAGGGGCAAGGAGAGGCTACTGCTGTGCTGAGGTTGAGTAAAAACAGAGAACTGGCATACATACATATGTATGTATGTACACAAATAAACGCTGAACTCACAGTGGCGCCCAAAATGTTAGGCCACAAAAATGTGCAAGCCAATATCACGCCCTCATTTCGAAATTCAAAATAAACTGTTCAGCTCATAGTTCTGAGTTCTATAAAAATGAAAGTAAAATAATAGAATGTAAATTATTATTTAACCAGGTTACTTATTTATTTTCTTTCTCGAATTTTCTGTGCATTTTGGCGCTGTACACAAACATATGTATTTAAATACATCACTTAATTGTTTAATTGTGTTGCATAAGTAAATCAAATATGGAAATTTTTTGATCAAAATGAAATTACTGCAATTACACAGGTGCTATTATTGCGCACACCGCTGTGCATACATGCATGTGTATGCGTGTGCTATGCCAAAGCAAACAGTAGGCGGATGGCGAATGGAATGCAAAGAGGAAGTGTGGATGTGAAGCGACGATGATGGCAGGGGGTAGGTGGGCTGTTGGCGAGGGGTGGGGACATAAAGAGACGTGCGCAGCAACGTTCGTGTGTGCCTGTGTGTGTGTGGGTACAAGAGTGCGGCTGACGCAACAGCAACAACAAGTGCAAGGCGGCAGAGCCGTTGGCAACTGTGTGCCGCACAAAATACACACAGACACACACACACACAAGCACACTCACGCGCAGACATAAAACTCGCAACGTCATAAAAGGAATCGGACAACAAAGCGACCAAGCGACTAAACGACGGACGACGCGACAGAGCGACGACGACAAAACGACACGACACCAACAATACCCCAGAGAACCAAAATTGCCCGCAAGAGAGAGCGAGAGCGAAAGAGATAGTTAGGGAGCGAGGGATAGAGTGCGAACGAGATGGGGCGATGCTCTCATGCCAAGTTGTTTTTGTTGGCTGCTTTTATTCTTGTACTTCTTAAACCTCACCCTTCCCCCCTTCCCCCTGCCAACACCTACAACCACCTCGGCCAATCCACCCGGCCAACAACAACAATTCGTGTTTATTGGCTTTACTTTTTGGGCTATTTCGCATTCGCTTATTCGCCAATTTAAAAGTTCAGGCAAATGCAGTGCACAATAATTTGCAGCAGAAAGGAACAAGCTAAATATTTGCCATAAACACACATTGGAATTGAATTGGAAATACATACATATGTATGTACATATTATATATTTTCATAAAAATTACATATTTACATACATAGTAGTGGGGTCACGCGTTTAAAGGTGCACTTTTTTTGCGAACATCATTTTAACAATTGGGTAATTCAGAAATGGGGATGCATCACGTAGAAAATTCAATTGAATAGTTTTACGGGAACTTTTTAATTCGTAGAAATTCAGTTAACAGCGTTTGGATTAAAGTAACTGAATTTTTAACTTACATATATGTGCCGCAGAATAATATTTAAGCATTCAACTATTGATGTACATGTGTATATGTAAATACATTTGTATGCATATAATATGTACATAAAACCATGCAAAATATGTATGTAAGGTGTTTTTTTTGATGTGTTCTTGCGCATTTTGGGAATATTTATTTTTTATTCAAAACTTTAGTTCCATTGTTTTCATAGATATACATAGCAACCAAGAAAAAAAAATGAAGACAGCTAACAGCGAAAAATGCAAATAAACGATTCTGTTAAAATTTTCTCAGAGATCTGAATGCAATAAATTAAAGATTTATTCGTGGGCTTGCTCCCGAAATTGGTTGGCTTTTCTTCCTTTTATTTTGGCTTCCTCTGAAAATAGCTTAATTCGTCCAATCCAACTGAAGTGCGGCAACGGCGCACTTTGTCTCCCACAAAGTGCAGCAACAAAAGCGACTCAGTGTGCGTGTGCATGCCCGTCTGTGTGTGCATGAAAAATGATAGGAGACCTATGGAGAGAGAGGCGGGCGAGGTGAAGAGAGCACGATAAAGAGGTAGAATGAGGGGGAAGGGGATGGTAGAAACGGGTCTAACGAGTAAAACGCAGCGGCAACAAAAACAACAGCAATGAACACGGCGCGCAAGGTGAAACACGTACAAAAGAAGAAGAAAAAAGATGAAAAATAAAATAAAAAACCCATATAAAGAGAGTGGGCGAGGGCGGGAGGAGTGGCAGAGCGGAGCGGCGTGGCGACCGGGAGAGCGGTACAATAATAATAATAATAATAATTGTGGAGCACACACACACACACACACACACACTTACGCACGCATGCTTTTGACTGTTTTATTCATGCAGATGTGTGGGTGGTAAAAGCCAGAAATCCACACGCACACACTCGCATTCAGTTGCATACATATGTACATACAGACAGAAAATAAAACGAGGAAAAAAGACAACAACAACAAAATCACGAGTAGGCCGAAAGCAATTTATTTCAGATAAGCGCCGCTGCGCGACGTCGCAGTCGGCGTCGCTGCCTCTAGGCCTGCCCTCTTCTTCTCCTCTTTCTCCTACCTCCCCCTCCACCAACAACCACCCAATCGTCCATTTCCCTTTCCACTTTTCGGTGTTTTGGCCAAAGTAAAGAAGTATTGATTTTTCGTTTCGTTTTGAGCTTTAATTTAGTGCGCCTGGCTTTTTATTTTCGGGCATTTTATATGGGGGCGTATTAAAACACAGTGCAGGCCGCAAAAAAGATGTCCCTTTTTGTAGGTGCAAAATAAATATACTCCAATTGGATTTAAGTACAAATGTACCATAGGCATGATTTTAAATGAAATTTTCCATTTTCAATATAATGGTCTTTGATAGCATTCAAATAAAATCAGTATTTAAATTGCATAAATTTACATATACGTATGCTTAAGATAATGCTTTATATTTTGAAGTTGCAGTAAAGTCATAAAATATGAATCAAATATGATATGGGGCATGTCCAATGTTCGAAATCATCAATTTTAAATGTTAATAAATAGAAAATCCTCCATTTTAGATATGAATAAATTAAAATGTTCAATTTTTTATTTTAAATTATATTATTAATTAACTTATATTAATATTAGCAACTATTTTTCACCCTCGGCTAAACATATTTATATTTTCCCGCCAGTGTACATGTTGTTTTTGTAGCGTGCGTGTGCTTTATCAGTTACTACTATGCTCGGGAAAACGTGTTTTTCACCTCAAATTTTCCACCGTAGGTTGCATATACTTTTTTTGTATTTATATATGTACATATGTGCATTTTTTCGCGAAAACACGCAAATTTCTGCCCACCTAAAACCACAAAAAACAAAAACAAATGGGAAGACACGCACGTTGCAATTTCAAATAGTGCAACGCAAAAATAATAATAAATATTTAAATATTAAACGCATATGCGGCACATATGGTTTCTTCACTTTTGTAGCTTTGCGAAAACAAATCTGCGCAGAATTCGGAATACACAAATATTCAAATTGCAGTTGAAATAATCAACAAAAAAAACGGGTTGAATTTCCATGACTAGACATTGCAACTTAATATTGTTTTTGTTTAGTCAATTTACAGTGCAAAAAATATATGTACAACTGTAATGCATTGAATATGATAATTGATAATTGATCAGCTAGCAAATCAAAATGCTCTCCTCGCCATTCTTTTAGTTTTCAATTAAGACGTGCTTTCAACAAAAGTCAAATCTTCGGTAATAAATTGGCTGACAAATTATTGAAGATTCTTCAGGCTTTTAAAATGCTGGTAATTTAGAAAACCAATTTAAATCTGATTTATGCAACTGCTTGATGACCCAAAAGACTTTCGAACGCAACGATAGAAGAATTAGCAGGAGAATCTGCAGTGATTCTTCTAAAGCTTTCCAGTTCCATATAGTCGGCTTCTTCTGGGCATTTTCTTTCTCTTTCTCCGTCGTCTTCACATTTCTGGCCGTTTCTCCGCTTCTTTCAGGTTCAAGAACATTCGAGGGGTGGAGACAGAAGCAGAAGAGGGAATCGGGTGGTAACGGGAGAGCAGAGCGAAGAAGGGCAGATAAGAAACTTGCGAGATTAGAACAAGAGCAAAGAATTTGCTTTTAAATTACTTTCATATGCTCACAGTTTGCCAAATGGTAAATATGGGCGGACATTTCAGGCGGGAAAAAGTAAGTAGAACAGCAAGTATAAAGTAAATGTATGTATGTATGCACATATGTATGTATATGTACATGCATGTGTGTATTGGAAGAGGAGGAATGATCTACATTTGCTGGTGGAAAAAGAAATACAACTTATTGATATAAACTTTGACTTTTGCACTGTGCTGCTGTATCAATTCATTCCTTTGTTTTAATTTCTTTTTTATGTTTTTTATACATTTGTGCTCTATTTACCGCTTCCAATCACAAAAATTTCATTAAAATGGAATGGAATGACTTGGAATTGAATTGAATGCACTGCAATATTCAATATGTGACAAGGCCAATATCAAAAAAAATTATATTGGAATTCATACTATTCTCATTAACGTCACTATTCTAAACATTTGAATAATATTTAAATATTTACAACCACATGGTTTGCAGCTTTAACCTTAGAATATTTTGGCCATCAGGGGGTTAAAGCGAGTGCCGAACACTAGAACGGTAATTTCTTGTTCTCTGCGATTCTGTTTTCTCCTTTCATCTCCTCTCTCATCCGTAAAATAAAAGAAAGGTTGCCAAACTTCATTCGTACGTGAATATATATATATATTTTTTTATATATATTTTTCGTGTGTGTTGCGCATTTCTTTTGTTTTTTTTTTTTACCAACTCTGTTTTATTGTTGTCTTTCTGAAGGAGGAAAAATCAATATGCGGATTGCGATTGCATTTAAATGAACATGAAAACGACAAACGAACAAGAAAATCCATGAGATATATGTATAAACATACAAACATACTTATAGTCTTGAAAATGTAAACTAAAATAAATAATGAACTAAAATAGAATAAGAAATTCTGTGTTCAATTTTGAGTAAAAAAATGTTTATTGGCTTGTCAAATTTTTGGGTATTTTTAAGTTCTGAACTTAAATGGTTTTTTTCATTTAACATTGCTTTTTGGTTAAGAATTGGTTTCAACCCTTGAAATATATTATACGACCATTTGTGTTTTATTTTTTGTGTGTGGCAACAAATAAAATGCGCTGAACAAAGCTTAAAAAATATAACCGGTTTAACGAGAAATTCTACGTTTGTATATCAATAGTACATATGTATGTAAAATAACAGAAAGCCAAGAAGACAACAAATTTAGAAACCTCATCTATATACGAAATGTATATAGATGTATATACACACATATGCGGTATAGCTGTTCACATTCGAACGGGAGAAGAGAAATTAGTGAAACAGGCATAAAGAACACAAGTCATATTTGCATAATTTAAATGCTAATGAAAGATTCGAATAAATGTATGGAAGCTGCTCCAAAGGCGAAGCCACGAAAGGTATAAATAGCTAAAACTACAAATGTATGGAGATATATGCCACATATAAGGCGGAGGAGCCAAGGGAATCAAGAAATAGAATCAAAATGGGGAAAATATTTGATTTTTTTTGGCGCCACACGCTCGAAGTCAAAGAACACATGTCAATCGGAATTTCAAAAACGAATTCAGCCCAAGTTGAAGAACCAGATCGCAAACTTTAAGAAACCCATTCGATTATTTCGGTTTTTACTGGGGATGATGAAGATGATCGCAAAACCAGTTGGAACAAGAATTTTGGGGGTTACTTTTTTTTTTTTTTTTTAAATAAGTTGCTCTAATTCAGTTTCGAAATACATGTATATATGACGCCTCATTTGGAAAACAAATTTTTTCGAGTTAAAACCCTTTGTACAAATACATATACATAGTATGATATATGCATTTTCCATATACTCCCTAATAGATTTTGTTTAAATAATATGAAACACATGGCAATTATGAAGAAACGCCACCTGAAATTCGCGTGTTTATCATTAGTTATAACGAAGTTTAATTGTATATTTATTTTGCAACTGAACCAAATTTTCTGAAGACGTAAGCTTTCAAGAGCCACTTAAAAAATTTATAATAAATATAGAAAATAATCACCAGCCCATATTTCAAATTAATTCACATAAAATTCACTTGGTACCGACGGACTAATTAAAAAAAAAACTAAAAATGTATTTGTTTATATAACAACAAATAAGGGATAAGAAATAAATTACTGGCATTTGTTTTGTTTCTTCTAAAATTATACAATTTGAATGAAAACCAGCCAGATAACCTTTTATTTAAAGATAAATATATGGAGTGTTAATTAAATTATTTTTATTCATTTTGATGTCGGACTTGCACTTTTACCAATTTTGTTGTATAATAATTTCCACACGATAGTAACATTTCACCACAAAAAGTAAATAATGTGAATTAAATTTCTTTGCTAAATTCACTGATGACAACTAACGGTAATTAAGCTAGTTTTTACACATGAATTAAATAATTAAATAAACTTACCCGATGGACGGAGAATGATGGCTAAATCCGCGAAGGGAAAATCCGTGAAAATCCATGAAAATCAGTTTTTCTCCCTTAACTTTTTTTTAATTTCAATTGCAATTGCATTTTTCATTTGCATTTGCACTTCCTTGAAAATGCGGCACAAATAACGCGATATCTTCTTAATTTCAATCAATTTTCATTCGCATTTTTATTATGGTAACTATAAAAAAAAAATGATTAACTTTCAACATATATGCATTTCATATCATATTTTATATGAAGCTAACAACGATTATGTTATATTTTTTTTTAGCACAGGGCGTTGTCGGGCCCAAAAAAATTGTTTTTTATTTTCGATGTTGCGTGTGTGTTTGTGTGTGCATGCGTATGTGTGTGTGCGCGGGACTTTGCTTTAGACTTTTTTTTTTGTTAAATGGATTAAACAACAAAAAATTAGAACACACGCACACAAACACGTTTAGAAATTTTTCCACTTTAATGCGAGAGAGCGAGCGAGAGAGCAAGCAAGACGGTGGAGAGCAGCGGTAAAGAAGGGAGAAAAAAAATCGCGACGCAATTGTGTGATATATTTTTTCTTAATCACATTTTCGATTGCATTTTGCTCATTACATTTTGTTCACGTTTGCTTTGCTGGCACACCGACGCACGCACATACCGACACCCACACACACACACAGACAGGCACACACACACACACGTACGCATAGAGAAAACCGCACGAATATTTATCACAAACACACACACCTATATATATATATATACGCATATATATAAGAATATGGCAATTTTTTCGTTAATTTTTCAGACGCATTGCGCTGCACATTTACCTCGGTTAATTTACGTGAATTTATAATAAATAAATTCGCAGTGTATATGTTATCTGGCGCAAATTTTCAAATGAAAAACGTGAGCATGGTCCGTCACCACATACCCGGGTTTAAGTGACTTTACAACTACAACGACATCTGCGCCGGCAAACGGCAACGGAAAAACGCTGTCGACTCCGGCAGAGCGTCTGCAGCGACGTCTGCAGAGCGAACAAAACCGCGGCAGAGGTTGCCACTCAATTGCTGTTTCACCAACGCGCACTTCGTGCTGGGAAAGTGCTGGTCTGCTCAGCTGTACGTATGCATAGATGTGTGTATGTATGGTGTATTGCATGAAGTTGAATGAAAATGGAAAATGAGCGATGGGAAATCGCAAATGTTGTGCGAAAAATGCAGTATTGAAATGATCTTCGCCGAACGAGAGAGAGAGAGAGATAGAGAGACACTGTTCGACATCGAACAGCGAACCCTTCGCAACCGCTTCGAACACAGTGGCATCCCGAATTATTTGGCACTGTGCAGTTCAGTTGGGAGTGCTTATCAAATGTTAATAAATATATAAAGCACGTTAGAACTAACTACTAATATTTCGAAAAGTATATTGCATTCCAGTTACGCTAGTTGCCTAATTCGTGTAGTAACTTTAACTAGGTTTTTTTGTTAAGGCTATGTACTTCAACATGTTATGTAATACCTATGTACATACATATACCTAGATGTACATGGCTTAGACAGTATTAGAGTATATGTGGCTCAACAAAGTAAAAGATACTTTACTTACATGTTCTTTTTTACTCATTTAAGTTATAAGATTTCAACTTCGACAAGTTGAAATAAAATAATATATGTAATATGTATGTGCAAATGTATGTATGCATGTAGTTTGCTCAGTTGGATGAATTCGTTTTAATTATACCAAACATTCAGCAAAAACGTTTGACAATTTGAACAGTACGCATTTTCAATGGTTTGATTTTCGTTTTCGATAACCCTTTGATAATTTTCATTCGTCTGTTTTTCCCCTGCTGTTTTGTTTTGGTTTTCGTTTTTGTTGCTGTTGCCTTTGTTTTTCCCTTTTTTCTGTTTTTTCTGTTTTTGTGCCTTTTTTGTCACTTGCCAATTTGCAGTGAAAGTGAAATGCGCTGAGCGCAGGCGGTCGGAAAATCGGGCGGGGTTACGCGGGGTCACGAGAGGGGGTGGGGGGTTTGATGGTAGGTGGGCGGTGGGCGGAAAGAGGGCAACGGCCAGCCTAAGTGGCTACAAAAAAAATTGAGTCGAACACACGTGCGATTTACCTGCAATCGCTCAATTTGGTTGCAAGTTCGCTGCCTCGCATCAAACCGATTTTCCGTTTTTCATTTGAGCAAATTAATGAAAAGTGTGGCAAATATTTTACATTTCCTATTTTCAATAGGAAACAAGTTGTGCTACAAATTCGACTACAAAGCCCAATCTTAAATAGTACATACATAGGTACGTATAAAACATTATTGGATTGAAAAAATCAGCAACTAAGTGCTTTATTTATGTTTTGGGTGTACACAGTTTAATTCAATTTAAATACCATCATTTATAAGCATGAAAATCGAGCAAAAATAAATACATTTTCAGTACATTTGCGCTAAAGATGTGTTTCTATTAATATTTGCTCGTTGTTTTTTGCTGGTTTGCTTTGTTATTATTAGGTCTTTTAGCCCTCTTTTCTTCCGCTTCTTTCAGTTCTCCACCTCCCCTATTCGTCGCTGTTATTGTTGTTGTTGCTTGCAACCGGCCGACGCAACGGGCAACATTTTTCTAAGCCGAACAGCAGCGCACACAAATGCTGCACAGTCGCAACATGTTTGAAGCGAAATAAGACTGAAAACGCCGTCGAGCACGTTAGAGCAACAAAAAACAAGAAAACCAAACAAGAAATCCAACAAAAATAACCCAAGACAACAAGCGAATGCTGCAACAGCGACATTTTATAGCAAACATGCACCCAAATGACAAAAACAAGAGGCAAAAACCAGCCGAGAGCGGCGACATCAAAAGGGCCGCTCGCACACGTTGCACTTGCATGACATGCCGCATCATACAGCAAGCGAGCGAAATAAACAAAAGAAATACATAGCAACATCATACCGTACAAAATTCTACATATAATACCTATACCCACTTTGTCATTCTCTATCATTCAGCGTCAGACCGTCGAAACGGGCGTGAAAGAGTGCGATAAAACCGAGAGAGGAATACAAACGAAAATGTCCCTTGTGGGCGCCACAATTTTGTACGATGCGCCCGAAGTCATGGAGGAGTTCATCAGCTGCTATCAGCATTTCACCGCCCTGTGGGACAGCAGCAGTCCCGATTACCTATCGAAACAGAAAAAGGAGCCCGGCTATCAGGAGCTATTGAAGATACTGCGACGCGTCAACGGCGGCTGTTCCGTTCAGGATGTTAAGCGCAAGATAAACTCACTGAGATGCTGCTATCGTCGCGAAATCAAAAAGGTACAGACCTCCGACAATGGCTATCAGCCGCGTCTCTGGTGGTTCCATATGATGGACTTCCTCAAGCCGGTGCTCAACATTCAATCGCCCGTCCGGGTGAAATCGGAGAGCTTGGACGACGAGACCAGCATCCAAGTGAGTTATAATCAGAAGGGGTGACTGTTACATTGGTCCTTTCAGAGGGAAACAGAATCATTTAGCTTTGTAGGATAACTGTAGCAAATAACTTTAGCTATATGTAGTATTTGTTGGTTTTGCTAAGGTATGCATGCTATGATATGATGATATGCCATGACTTACAGTTCTGTAATTGTATGCTCATAAGTACAGCGAATAAAATGTGTTTGAATCGCGTTGGACGCGGTTTGACGGCGGTCGTAGGACAAATGAAACGTCGGTCGTACGACCAATTTACGGTACAATCCTCAGTCGGTCGCCAGACGTCAGACATGTCGCACACTCGCACTGCCATCGATTTTTGGAAGGAGTTCCTCGGCATGTACCGCTCGATGCCCGAACTGTGGCTGGTGCGGAGCAAACTGTATCGGGATCGGCGGCTCAAGGTCGAATCCTATGGACGATTATTGGAGCTGCTGCGCGCCTCCGATAGCAATGTCAATATCCATACACTCAAGCGAAAGATCAACAATTTCCGTACCTCGTATCGCCGGGAATTGAGAAAGGTGCTGGATAGTAACAACACCTATACCCCATCGCTATGGTATTTCAAAGAGCTCGATTTTCTCTATGAACTGGAAACCGGCGAACTGAAATTGGCGGCCGAACAGGATCACGACTTGAAAGTGCGGCAGCAGGAGGCAAATACATCGGTGGCAATCGAAGCACACCTATCGGAATCGGAGGATTCACTGGCCTCTATGCAGCAGCGGGAAAATGGAGACATAACCGAGGACAACGATAATGATCAGGTGCATAGGTTGGATGCCGAAGTGAGTGGTCTATGGGAGTACGTTATAAAGAGGTTATGTAAGGCATATCAGGACAATACTAAGATAACACTTACTGCGAGCAAAAAGAAATAGTTTATATGAAAGCACCGATTTATTATTTAGTTTTTTTTGCATAATCCCACAATGTGAGATACTCATACATCATGTTACATTATTATTATATTATTATATATTACCTCAACACCAACTCCGTTTACATCCATTTTCAGGAGGTTGATATGATTGCGGAGACGTTCCAAAACGAAGAGGATGTGCTGCGTCTCAATGCCGTGGTCGATGGCGATGTGGAACCGGAAACAGAGCCTGATCACGACCCCGAAGCGGAGAACATGGGCCCCGAAGTGGAGCACCATGTGGAGGATTATCGGGACAATTCATTGGTGGATAGCGTCAAGAACAGTGGCTATCTGGCTAGTCCCTCGCACCTGCGACTGAATGCGGAATCGTTGGCTTTCGATAAATCTGTTGGCCGTATCCGTATCCGGCGAAGACGCAGCAGTAATGACACCGAATACGGCGAGACGGTGAAAAAGCGTCGAAACGAGGAGACTCCGAATCGAGATAGAGACAGGGAAATAAAGAAGGAGTGGGATCTGGATAGAGTGCACGAAAGTGACAGCGAGCACGAGTGCGAGCTCATCGGAAAGCGGATGGCCACCCACTTCCGGCATATGCGACCGGATCAGCGACTCTACGCCGAACGGATCATCAGCGAGGTGCTCGTCTACGGCCGGATGAATCGTCTTTCGTTCGAGGCGAAATTTATTCTGGGTGAAAAATAGTTAACACCATGCGTAATATGCTCATATGTACATATTTCTTTTCGATTCGCATGTGCCAGTCATTATTAATTATAGGTTCCTACACTTTGAAAGCCTAGATTTTTTTGTAGCAATTATTAAGCAAAAAACAAAATAAAGTAAGTCAAAATGGATGTGTGCTTGCTTTTTTTATATTTTCAAAAATCAATAATTAACATTCCGTGGGTAAACAACAAATTTATTAAGTAAAGCAGAAGAGTTTTGAAGTTTTGTACCTAAAGCGGAAAAATAGGAAGAACCAAAAATAACATTTTAGCCGCCTGCAACTGCTACGCAAAAAAAAAAACAAGAACAAAAAAAGACAACAAAAAATGCAAAAATGTAAAGCAAACGGCTAAAAGCGAAACGCGGTGCAAAAGGGAAGGGGAAGAAAAGGGCAAGACAAAAAGGAGGAAAGCAAATAAAGGAACCGGTTTTTATTCATTTTAAATTTGAGTGAGTGGTTCTGCATGCGGATCCCTTCCCCTCTTCACCCCTCCACCCCTTCTCGGCCCATCCCCCACGTCCAGCACATCTTGTTTTTCAGCCTGCCTTCTTTCTTCCACTTCTTCGTCTTCATCTCCTCCTTCTCGTCCACCGCTTTCTGCTGATTTTTTGCTGCCCACTGCGATTCTTTTATTTCAGCTTTCTTTGCCTCGCCGCTGTGTTCTCTCTTCCTTCTTCACTCCTTCTATTCCTCTCGCCCCCCTCCCACTCCCTCACTCACTTCTTTTGTGCCGTTCCCTTTGCTTTAGTAACTTTAATTTGTTGGCATTGCCATTGCCGTTATACTGTCTCTTCCCCTCTCTCTCTCGCAATCTATCGCACCCTCTCGCTCAGTCCTGCCCTTTCACTCATTGCTACACAGACGAATCATATTGGTACGTCCTATAGTAACAATATTATTAATACAGGGTGCGTTATGAAAGTAATGCGCATGGTTTCATTGTCACGTAACTACCTGTCGTAGCACGCTCGGACCTGTCTGAAAATTTGGGGCGGAGTTTATCCTTTCCAACGCGCTCGTTCTCAGTTCGCTCTGAGCAATAGAAGTGGTAGGACATGTCGTAGAGCGAAGTCATTATTTCTGTTGTGTCACGGTGCAATGGAGCGTTCGCTGGAACAGCGGTACGCCATAAAGTTTTGTGTGCGACTTCGCAAAAATGCATCGGAAACTTATCAAATGCTTCGAGAGGCCTTTAAGGAGGAGAGCATTTCAAGATCTCAGTGTGGAAGGTGGCACAAGGTCTTCAAGGAGGGTCGAGAGGAGGTCACCGACGATCCACGTTCCGGACGTCCAACAACAGCACGAATTGATGAAAACGTTCGCCGTGTGCGAGAAACTTTGAGTTCAGACCGTCGGTTAAGCATCCGGGCAATCGCTGACATCCTAAACTTGTCAACATTTGCGGTACATGGAATAGTGACGGAGGATTTGCAAATGCGAAAGGTCTGTGAGAAGCTTGTGCCGAAGGTGTTGACGGAGGAGCAGAAAAACGTTCGAGTTTTGCGCTGTGAAGAATTGTTGGAATCGATTAGAAATGATCCAGGTTTTTTAAATTTTACTGTAACTGGCGATGAATCCTGGATGTTCAAATCTCGTATCAAAACAATGCTGATTGTCTTCTTTGACGTCCGAGGAATCGTCCATTTTGAGTTTGTACCGCAAGGACAAACTGTCAACGGAGCCTTTTACCAAGAGGTACTCAAGAGACTGAAACGCCAAGTCGTACGCGTCAGGCCAGACATCAAAGACGTTTTCATGCTCCACCACGATAACACCCCCAGCCACACGGCCTTCGTCGTCACCAACTTCTTGACCCAGAAGAAGATCTCAGTTGTGCCCCAGCCTCCTTACAGCCCTGACTTAGCTCCGTGCGACTTTTTTTTGTTCCCCCTACTGAAGAGAGAGCTAAAGGGAAAACACTGGGAGTCGGTGGAGAACATCCAAGCTCTCGTAACAAGGTTCCTGAAAGGCATTTCTGTCGAGGAGTTTCAGCGTGCTTTCCAGGCGTGGCATACACGTCTCCGCAAGTGTATTGACGCAGGAGGGGACTATTTTGAAGAATTCTAATAATTTGTACTGATTGGATCAACAAATATATTTTTCTTAGAAAATGCGCATTACTTTCATAAGGCACCCTGTATTATTAATATGTATGTTTATTAAACTAATAAAGCGTCTTTAAAAAAAACTGTGGAGAAAAGGAATATTTTCTTCACATTAGTTATGGAATGTATTATTAAGAAAACGAATATGCCTTAAATGCTTGCACAGTTTTTTCTGTGTAATTTTCGGTTAGGTCGGGTTCTATTTTCTATTTGGTTTTATTCTTATGATTCTATGTATGTTTTCGCCTGTAAGATGGTAAATGGCAGAAGGGCGAAAAACTAGAAAAAGGGGTTGTCTTTTGGGTTGTCTGTGCAATCGAACTACAATTCCATACACTAAGTTTTCAACGCCCAGTTTGTATGATAAATAAGTGATGATTTTGGCATTGGAACTCATCAATACGACATCAGAAAAACAGTACAAAATCATCTGAGGCATGTATGTACATATCTACATACATACATATGTATGTATGTACATAAGTACAATCAAACAAGGAATAAGAATGTGAAATGCGATAGCATTTGTTGTAAGAACTTTTTGCGCTGTGTAGCCACTTTTCTGAGTTCCTTTTCTGGATTTTTCCTTTCCTTTACTTTAATTTTCTTTGGCTTTTCGTTGTTGCTGTTGTAGCCGGCATTTAGCCGTCTCGGGGGAAAAAATAACAAAATTTAGCCAAATTACTGTCCCTCAGTTGTTTTGCCTCCTTTTCCCTTCTGTTCCCTTCTATGCACGCAAAGAAAAACGTGTCCGTTTGTTAAGAAATACAAGTTTTGCACTGCTTTTCAAGCATTTCAAGCTTTTCAAGTATCTTTGGGATTGATTAGCCCGTGAAGTGACCTTGTCGTTTAAAATTTCTAGCATTCATCTTATGATCCGCTTGCAAGCTTTAATAACAGTATGTTAAAGTACATAGATTTTTGACAAGTGCATAGAAAATGAAACTTGTAGTTTCTGGAAAATTCGCATGTTTCAAAGTTTTGATGTCCGCTGGGTGTGTGTGTGCATGTGTGTGTGTGTCGCCATTTGCCTTTCTCAGCGTCTTTGGTTTTGACATTCTGCCTCCTTCACTCCATCCTTCCCCCCTGCACCCCTTAGTCACCCTTCTTCGCCGGCAAACAGTTTTTGGTCGTAGTCAACCGCATTAATCCATCCCCATCTCTGCGTGTGTGTGTGTGTGTGTGTGAGTGTGTATGGGCGTGTTTGTGGCACAAAATGAAAATGGCAAAACAAGGTCAAGTGTAGGGAGCAAAGTTTGTTCGAGTGCACATACGCACACACAAACTACATACATACCAATAAGCAAATAACACAAAAATAACAAACATAAAGTTCACATCACTCTTTCATCAAGAAAAGCTCTTCAGATTGTACATGCATATGTACATACATATATTAATTTATATAATTTAGAACAAGTGAAATTGTACGATTTTTGTACAGACATACATATGTACATACATAAGTAATGTGATTCGTTATTAAAAAAATGATTGATCATCAATTAAATGAGATTTTATTGGGCATAATTATTTTTAGAGCCAAAATAAACTCAAAAATAAAGTATTTTTTGTTCAATTTTCATTGGTGAGGCTGTTCAGTTCGTGCTTTGTAGATACTATTTCAATTAATATACATATGTACGTGTATATATGCATGTTTGTACACACATATTCTGTCAAATTGATAAATATTTATAATTGCTTTTTTGTTTTTATTGTGCATTCTGCCGAAGCAGATGTAGTCGACGTCGACGCCGACGCCGGCAGAGGCTAAATTTTGAGGTTAACTTTTTGACGACTAAATAATTTGCACGGAGGTGCAAGATATTTTTTTTTGCGTAAATTTTTTTTGCTGCTGTTTATTTTAGTTGACGGATTGACAGTCAGACGTCTGCCCGCTTCTCTGCCGGCGTCGGCGTCGGCGTCGACGTCAGCTGCGCAACGACACCTGTGGCTATGCGAAAAAGTCGACGAAAAATGGGGAAAAATAAATGAAATAAAATAAAACAACCCTCGTCTGAGATTTTGCTGCCAATTTTTCGCAGGCCTATGCAGTAAATTACTCTCTCCCTCTTTCTCTCTCTCTCTTCCATTTCGCTTGCCCGAAAAAAGGTGTGACGTAGAAACCAAAACACACACAACCAAAACAAAGTACAAAAAAAAAAAGAAAAAGTGGCAAGAAAAATGGTTGGAAACAGCCGCTGAAAGTGTAACTAACATACACACAAACAAAAAATTATATACCAATAAACACACAGAGACACACAGGTACGCAAGCGTTGCAAAAAAAAGGAAACCTAAATAAAAAAGTTAAATGGAAATTTCTGATATAAAACACACACATAGTCGCACTCACACAGCAGAGCCGAGTGAAGTTTGGCAACGCAGCGCCGCAAGCGCGCAGTCGCCAGAAAGCGACGCCGACAGACACAACAACAAACAGTAGGCAATGTCGCACGCGTGAGTAAGACGGCCAGATGGCGAGTGAGGTGGTTAAGTGAGAGAGCCAGTGCGTCAGAGAGTGCCCGGTGTTGTTTTTGCGCAGCTCCGCACGGCAACAGCGCACAGTGGGACAACTTGCACATATCAAAACATTGTTACTGTGACCCATCTTCTGTTTTTCCATACATTGCATAAATATTTTTAATTGAATGGCATTTTATACGGTCGACTTCCTAATGCATATATACATACACCAATGTATCTGTGTTTAATATCAAAATGTATTAATTAATATTAAAATGAATTTATGTAGAGTGATAAAAAGCATACGCTCGGAACTAAATGTTTTAATTATAAATTTAATAAATGATAATGATAAATCGAGGTGAAGGATTTAATTGACCACTGCTGCACTGTGCAACAGTAACTGGTTCACAAGAAGGGAGCGCAAAGAGCAAGGAGCAGTTTGTAAAAGAAAAAAAAAACAGGTACCCCAGTATCCAATTTGATGAGTTCTGTAAATTAATATTTTAAAATATCCCAATCCCATACAGCGGTACTAATTCAAAATAAGCTTTTTAACTCCTTTTTAAGATACACCTACTAATATTTTTATATTTTGTGAAAATTGTCTGGTAAATGGAATCAAAATACTTGTATTTGCTAGCTATGTAGTATATAATATGCACCCATTTGTGTACTCACCAAAATTGGTATAATGTTTTGGTTAGTTTAGCAAATTTTCCACGGGGTCATCGTGCACCGCTTGGTTGCTCTTCTTCTTGCGCGCTCTTCTCTTTTTCTTCTCCACGTCCCACGCCATCAGTAACTCTCGATCTCTTCCTCTCCGCGTTGGTACACAAAAAAAACACATTTTTTTTCGCTACAATTTGACACACAAAGCAGCTGTCTGCATAAGCACCGCACATACACATTGCACATACATCCATTGCATACATATGTACATCTTATATATCTCACGCTGTGTTGCCATAGATACAAGCAGACACGTAATTTATATATGTATGTGCATATATGTATAACTGCGCAAGAGGAAGAAGAGGCTATGGTGAGCGGGAGAGGGCTATTTGTTATCTACTGCGCATTGTCTTGACGTTGTTTGCGTAGTTGCTTGTATGTATGTACATGTGTATGCATGTTTGTGAATGCGAAGATGAAGCAGAAGTGGAAGAGCAAGAAGAAGCAGAACAGCATACCAAATAACTAGCGCAGTCGTAAAAGGGGAAGGAGCGAGCGAGAGAGGGAGACCTCACAAATTAACATGACACGACCAGCGTCAACAGTACAGCAACAGCAACAGCAACAGCAACAACAAGTCAACAGAACAAACCGGCACATTTAACTTAAGCATACACACACACAAGCACTCACGCACACGAAGGGGAATAAGAAGATGATGACGAAGAGGGACAAGCGACTGAGAGAGAGAGGGCAACATGCGAAACGGAAAACCAAACGAAAGCGTATAAATATGTAAAGCAAGGGGCACACGGAAAGAAAAATAATGACTTGTAATTAAAACCTACAAAAATAACCCATGAAACTAACAATTACATTTGAAATATGAGTTTCGCTATTTGAAAATGCCAACCAATAATAGTGCGCAATCATTTTGCATAGCAATAAGTAATTTTTTGTCACAGTGCAGTCAGCTTGCCAGCAAGGGTCTGAAATAAGAATAACAACAATAATAATATGAAAAGCGAAATAAAATGAAAGCATACGCAGCGTGGACTGCGAAATTCTTTGGGGGTTTTCGGTTTTCGGTTTGCTTTTGCGTTTGCGTTTGCTTTCTGCTTATGGAATGGAAGGGGCGGGCGTAGGATTCTGGCGTAACCCGAAGCTGGACATGGAAAAAAATGCGGGGACTTGAGGCAAAAAAGTCGCAGGGTGGGGGCTTTGAAATTCTCGGGTATATTTTTGCCTTGTTTTTTTTTATAGAGTTTATAAGGTAGCTGAGGCCAAAAACGGGTCAATCAACGCGCGGGGTTGCTGGCAGGGGGTTGGGGGGAGTGGGTGATGTGGAGTTAGAGGGGGTTAACGTCTCATAATCCGCTTAAGATTCAGCGACCACCACAGCGGGGTGCACCACGTGCTAAAGTTTTTTTTTTCTTTTACCGGCCAGTTATTCCCTTCCAGTTATTACCCTGCATGTGAGTCTGGATACCATCCCATACCATGGTATCCAACGTAACCCCTCTTCTATTTTAGGTTCCTAACCGCACGGGAGTGTCAAGATAACGTGAGTGATTTAGGTTAGGCAGGTTTCTCGATTTAGTCTTCAACTTTAAGTAAGCTGTTCAAACTTTATAATAATGATATGTATTAGTAATATATGTACATCTGGATATACATTTATAAAATCCCATTAAAAACTAACAGCATGCATATATGCATACATACATATTATGTAATTTAAGAGTTTTTCAGTTTGTACGCATACTTTTTCTTGTATGAATTTCCCATGAATTTGTACCTTTTTAATTTCCATAAAATAAGTTAAGTACTTAAAGCTAAGAAAGCCTTTATTATGTGTTTATAACATAAAAAAAATATCATTTGTATAAATTTACTTTTTTTGTCATCAAAGTTACGCATTGAGTGTGTACGCATATTTTTTCTGGCAAGTGTATGTGATACTATGTATTATTTCTTTGATAATTACTTTATAAAACAGTGAGACAGAGATTACAACTGCATTCTTAGCAATCTGAATAGCAAAATCCATTGTTTGATATCTGTTTGCCTGGAATTGATAAGTTCAAGGTCTCAAGTAAGAAAAAAAAAGGAGGCTGCTTGGCAAACGGAGTGTTTGACGTCATTTTGCGAAACTGACATTGGTTTTATCCCCACCAAAAACCCTTCGGATTTTTCGTTCTCATGGCAAAGTCGAAGTAACGTAAACTTTTTATTGAGCGTTCGGTTGCAACCATTTCAAATGTGGTTGAAAGGTCTTGAATGTATTGCAAATTCTTTCATCAAAATATATGTACATACATATGTATACATATATTATTGATTTATTAGATAGATTATTCGATGATGGAAACGTGATTCCCCCAACCGCAGTGGATGCGATCATGTGGACCCCCCTCCCTGCTACTAACGCCCCTTTCTGTCACCATTTCCTATTTATAGCCCCTCGTGTTTCCCCCCAGAGCCCCCACCTAAATACACATATCAGTTCATTTCGAGTGTTGTTGTTAATTTTTGTTGATGTGTTTTATTTAGATTTTTTATTATCGCGCGCGTTTTCGTTTTTTCGGCTTATCACTGGTTCCACCTCCCGTTTTAGCCCCCCACCATTTTCGCCCACAATTAAAACTTGATGTGATCTTTGTTCGCCGCGCGGCCAATTCACAGTTAAGCCATATCAACAACGAAGGATCACGGTGGGTGATTGTGAAGGGGGGAAGAATTCCAGCAGAGAGAGGAATTCAACAACTGCCTCTTCTGGTGGGTGACATTGCAAGAGAGAAGCGGAAAGCGAGAAGGGGAAGGGGAGTGAAGAAATGAAATAAATAAACAAGGCAAAAAGAGAAAAAGAGAAAAAGAAAGAAAGAGTCTAGTGTGTGTGGAGGGAGGGGGTGGGGGAGGGGGCAGAGAGAGGAGGAGAAGCCGAATAAGCGCAAAGTAGCGCAACTTGCGGTGACAGCAAAAGCAACAGCAATAAACACAAGACAACTAGAACAACAATCGACGGTTACAGCAACAACGGGGTACAGTGAACACTAGCTATGCAAGAATTGTGTTCTAGAAGTTAAGACAAATTTTCCACATAAAATATAAGTGATGGAATATTTAATAAAATGTTTCCAATATTCAGTGCACAGCATGTGCATAGTTTTGAACTAACTATATTATAAAATCTAGTAAAAAAAAAAAAAAAAAAAAAAACTTTATATGTACTAAGATTGAAAAATGACATATTTTAAACATATTTATGTACATGCACTGTAGGTGACCTTTAGTGCGGTGCCCACAGTTCCATCGGCTTGCCGGTTTTGCGCGCGTAATCGATGCTGCCCCATTCTCAGCCCCACTCGGACCCCCCTCCCCCACCGCCCCTCCACAATCCAATCACATAGAAACCGCTTTACGATCTTGTATTACGTGTTGGTGTTTCGCATGTGGTTGCCCCTCTCGTTTTTTTGTTCCCCCATTTTACTCCGGCTTTGTGTGCTGTGCACGGATCAGTTTGCCTCTTGGGCCGACTGAATAATCAAGTCACAGTTCCAGTTCCACCGCACAGCACCCCGTAGCTCCCCTACCACCTCCTACCACCCCTCCCCCCATCGTACCCCCTCGCATCCATGGCATCGGTCAGTGGCTCGGCACCCAGCAACAACCAGTTATATACTACATACATATGTATGTATAGCCATATCCACATACATATACAGTACGTACATGTGCGAGTGTACGGGACGGCGAACCGGTTTCCTTTTACTGTCTTGCATATTTTTAGCAACAAGTTGAAAGAGTTGCCTCGCCAAATGGCTGTACAGTCAGGCATCGCAAAGCCGAACTCGCACCTATTCTCTGCACGAACTTATAATGTCGAAGTTTCACATTAGTTATTATTCATGCTGAAGAATGTTTATTGTTGGACACTGGATGTCAGTTTAATTTTATTTTTTTTTTTAGCTAATGGGACACTTTTAGGGAATATCGTTCAGAAAACAGTCAGAAGTACATTTTATGTGTTTATTTTTGACTGAAATATGCATATTTGAGAAATTATTGCATATTGCAATGAATGAATGTGGCCTGTAGCCGACGAGTGAGATGGCCGCAGCTGTGGGAGCGAGAGGTCGACAGTAAAATTATAATGAAAACGTGTAGAAAGATCGACTTCGATCGCAAAACCAAAAAAAAAAAAAAAAAAAAAAAAAAAAAAAAAAAAAAAACGAATTGGCAAACAGAAAACAAGAAATACAACAAAGAAACCCCTTGCGGCTGGTGTGGGGGGTGGTGGGGCGGCAGTGGAGGGGCAGGGAAGGGGGTAGACGGATGTCACAATAGCCATAGCCATCGCAAACATAGCGCTGCGTCATTGACGTCGGCAGCGGCAGAGGCAGCGGCAGAGGCGTCGCCGCAAAACAATTGCCGGTCATTGTTGTCGTTGTACTTGTATTTGCCGTTGTAGTTGTTGTTGTTGTTGTAGTTGGAGCCCCGACGTCGCAGTCACTCACTTTAGCCCCAAAAGAAAAGGGCATGCTCGAATATGGACATGGGTTCAACTCGGTTTAACAAACTGAACTGAACTAGTACTGGAACTCACATTGAGGTTATGTAGTTTGAGTTTCCCTCCTCGTTTACCAAGAGATTTTTTTAAAATAATATTTAATTGTTTGATAACTTTAGGCTGATATTAGTACATAATCTTGGTTTTATACTAGAGATTTTAGCCACTTTTTTGTATTTTTTTTTTTTTTTTATACCTATGTGGCTTCTGCTCGGGCGCCCATAAAAGCTAGCCTTCGCTGGAAAACTATAAAGATATAAAAATACATACAATATAAATAAATATATGAGCACCTGTGGCAAATGATAATCTGATTTGAAATGTAGCCAAAACTTTTTTTGCTAAAGAATTAATGGCAGGGTATTTTCATGTGAACCAAGATCTTGACTTTTATTGTTTTCTTTATTTTTCTCAACATTTTGTTACATTTGCTTTGCCATTCATATTTCTTCTTGTTTATTGTTTTTTTTATTTTTTTTTTTTCCAACAACAGCAGACACTTGTGGGGGGGGGGTTGTTCGGTTGGAGCGCCAGAGGGAGCGGCAAAACACAATGGCCACACTTTGACCCTGACTTTTAATGTGCACATTCGCCATCTCACTCGCACCCTTCGCCCGTCCCGCTTTCCTTATGCTAAATTATTGTTATTATTATGAATTGTGCTTCGTTGTTTGCGTTTGTGTTTGTGCTTTTGTTTGTATTTTCGTGGTGGTGTCTGCTAAACACTAAAGTATGATTAATTGACCTGCGGTGGCCGGCGCACTTTAGCACATATTTTCCCGGTCTCGGTACTCCCCTCCCCCTTACCCCCCTGTACCGCGCCCCACAAGTCCACATCTCCGTAGGATTTTCCTTGTGTGGCTAATTTTCCAAGGCAGGCAAAGTAGGATGTACACATGTGCATACATTTATGTGTGGTAGGTTTAACATCATTAGTAGTTTACTAACATAAGTAGTTTCATTTTAATGAATAAATTTGGTTGCTTTAATTTTGAGTACATTTCATGGATACAAATATTTGTATTGTTATTGTATCTTTTTTACTGCATCTTTTTTTCCATTGTATCTTTGCAATTATGTTGAAACTAAAGCTAATTTGAAATACAAATAATGGGTTTTGAAGCTCCAAATAAATCATTTTACTTATATTTTTTATTTTTTACTTATTTTTTTAAATAAATTTGGTTG